TYYTTYYTTTTYYTTTTTTTTTTTWAAAGACTTTAACCTTTATTTTATTGTTTTTATGTGGTGCTGAGAATCTAACCCAGGGTCTCATTCCTGCTAGGCAAGCACTTTACTCCTGAGCTACAAACCCGGGCCCTCTTGGATAATTCTTAATGCCAGATTCTCTGCTCTTTRGCTATCATTATTTTAGAGAAAAATAAATGTGGTAAATGTGAGTATTATGGGGCCATGCTATTTACTCTTTGGTGGTCCTTTTCTTTTCTRTAGCAGACCATATATTATACATTTGAACTACTCTATTCCTGTGGTAGCTATTCTACTCTAGGTAATTACCAGCTTTGTAATGCTTGTTTTGCTGTATTCTCTGACAGATGGTCTTACCTCATTCATGGATTTAGTTTCATAGGCTTTCAGGTTCAAGTGATATCAAGTGATATGATTTTAAAAGACAATAGTTCTTACCATCAGATTTACATTTCCTCCTGGAGAATTGTGACATGTATAATCCATTTTATGATTAGAGATTTACCAGTAYACTTCAAGATCCCAGAGGGCTGAAAATCAAAAGGAGGATAGAAATAAAGTGTTAATGATGTAACTATTGCTTGAACTTAATCTTGAGAGATGAATATGCATTATGTAAATGAAGAGAAAAKTCACAGGGCATGTTCAAAGCTAAAGATGTAGCAAATGAAGAATGCCAAAGGGTATGGCATGGCTGAAGATAGGTCACAGGTGCCTGAGTCTAAGTATTAGGCCATTAAATTAAGGAGGGATCACAGGTGCAAGAGTCTGTTTTATATATCAGTCCGGTGAATTTACTTAGAAGTTCAAATTCATCTGCCAGAAATTCCCTTTTTTCCCCCCTAGACCTTAAAACAAAAAATCTTTGTATTTATATACTATCTTGACTATTTTTTTCTGTTCTAACCCATCCTGTTTAGTGTTCTAGATTAAACTCTTTGAGGTGCACTCTGCTTTGGAACCTCTTAACTCAGAACCTTTGCAAGCTCATGTTATTCATTTTGAAATTGCCCTCGTACCTTTTATGCCTTGCATTCTTGTACTCATGTTTCACATGACTGTTTCTTTTGTATATTTCTATGCTTCTGTTCCATTTACTCCTTGTTTCTACATTTTGTACCTGGGCTGCTACTTGTCTTATTTGTTTTGGGTGATAGCCTTCAGTAGTTATGTTGATTTGTTTTATTATTTTAGCTTTCAAAACAGGCGATATATAAAGAATTTTAAAAATTATTTTAAAATCAATTTTCTATCATATTTTGATCTATATTAAGCTCCATTTAGTATATTTTGAATAATATCTTAGGCACCTTTATAATTGTTCAGATTCAGAGTAAGCTATAGCAATATAGATATTTACATAGTTATACTTTTAGAATAGTTTTAATAAAACTTTATATGCATTAAGAAAGTATTCTAATATAATGTAGTGGATTATTGTTGGATCCAACAATGTTGTATGTTACTGCTTACAGTTTGAAACATTTAAATCTTCCAGGTAGCTATTGTTATTAATATTATGCTTCACCTTTTTTTTCAATTTTTAATTTGTAGAGAATTCTTGCCCTCTCCATTTTAATAAAGTTACTTCCATTTTTTATCCCAGATTTAGAAGGTAAATCCTGTGGTATTATTCAATATTTAGTAAAGTCTAATTTGAATTTATCACTCTTGTAATAATTTTGGTATTTAGCATTTTCCAAAGTTATATTGCCTGAAAATATTCTCTTGTTTGTATTTTTCCTGTTTTACAGTGAAGAGGTCTGTATTTTATCAGCATCTGGCACAGCGGCTGTTCTGAACCCTCGATTTCTGCAGGATGGCACCGTGGAAGGCTGTTTGGAACAGAGGTTGTCATGGCAGCCTGCCTTATTTTCTGTAATGGCAGAGAAGGGAGAGGTTGTCTCCTTTTTTTCCCCTCAGAACCAGAGTAGTTGTCTATTAGGGTGACTTACAGTGGTACAGTACAGAAATTGGGATGTGGCACTTTACTGATGTTTAACTAACCTTTGGTAACAGGTAAGTATGGGGTTCAGCACTGTATTACACACAATATTTCTGTCACGATAAGTGACACGTGTGACTATAGTTTTAGTCCACTCTTGCTTTGCTGTGACCAGTACACCTGATGAGAACAGTGTAGAGGAGGAAAAGTTTATTTTGGCTCAGGGTTTCAGAGATTCAGTCCATGGTTGGCAGAGTCCATACCTCAGGATTGGAGGGGAGTGGCAGAGGAAAGCAGTATAGAACATGTGAATATCAGAAAGCAGACAGAGAGCTGCACTCATCAAGGACAAAATCGAAACCCCAGTGCCGGGTTTCTGTTCTGGAGACTAAAAGGCTCAGGGGTCACTCTAGTTAAACTGGGCTAACTGGGCTGCACGAAATAACCACACAAGAGACACAAATACCTTTTTCTTTGGGGTCGCTGTGACGGCTCCTCTGACCTTAAGGGTCTGCAGAAAGAGAGAGAGCGAGAGCACACGCTGACCCCTTTTATTGAGGAAAAGCTATTCAAATGAGGCAAGGGGTCAGGTTTCAGGGGGCTGAGTATCTTCATGATGTCCACTGTCAGCAGGTTGACTGACACCTGGGTAGGCCACACCCAAGGGCACAGTAAGAGAAGGGGACACACACAAGGCACTTCCATGGAAGATTCTATCCTAAACAGGGCAAGGGGTTATATTACAAAGGAACAGGTGAGCATAGCTTCACCCATGGGGCTGTAGCAAGACACACCCATCTCTGTGACTGAGCACCTCAGCACCCAGCTGGGGAGTGTAACTCAGTCACCCATAAGGTTGGCTCCCCACACCCCAAAGGCATGCCTCCAGTGACTTACTTTCATACCCTGCCTGCCTACAGATACTACCCTGTTAATCCATATCAGTAGAGTAATCCACCGATTAGTTTACAACTCTCAAATCTAATCGTTTCACCTCTGAGCATTCTTGCATTGTCTCATACATGAGCTTTTGGAGGATAGGACATATCTAAACCATAGCAACTACCAATTGAGGAATTTTTTGACTTTGTTATAATATAGAAATTATTTTGACTTTGCCTTTCTTTCCCCCTTATGCCTACTTCAAAAACAAAATAGAGGCCATGAAATAAGATTAAAAAAAAAAAGTTCTTATTTCAGAAAAATAATCAAATCACTATACTGTATAAAATTACAGATAAAAACTTCATGGAAAGTGGCTGTAGTATTTGTAAAACAGAAAGTAAAAGTATTAGGTAAAATAAACTTTGTGACTGACTTAATTAGTCCCTTTGAACTTTTGTTACTGTCAATATCAAAATGTTTTTCATAAACAGACAAAACCATCAATTGTATAYATAAACATATTGTTTTTTTAAGCATATACATGCACATAAGCTATTGGTTTGATATCAGAGTCTACCTGAATAAAATTTATTTTAATTATGCTTTATGACACAATGTGCATGCTTGCTTTCTTCCCCAGTATTAATATATTAGTTATGAATTAAGTAAGGAAATTAAAATAATTCTATATTTGGTCAAATTTAGTATAAATTGGCAAATCTGAATATTACCAATATATTTTAGCTCTAGTCAAAAGAGAACCTTGGTAAGTTCTTCTTTTGTCAATATTTAAGTGGATRTTGGCCATTCTGTATTCCAGAACCTCAAAAGTTATAAATAGGTCCATTTTAAAGTGTGTTAAACAATTATAATATTCTGTTGAGAAAACTGCCTTTGACAGTTAATTTTCTCACTCCTGAAATATGGTTCTTAACACTTCAGTAGATTTAATTCCTTTTTTTTTTAAAAAAATATTCTTTTTAATTGTTGATAGACCTTTATTTTATTTATTTACATGTGGTACTGAGAATCGAACCCAGTGCCTCATTCATGCCAGGCAAGTGTGCTACCACTGAGCCCAAGCCCCAGCCCAGATTTGTGTGTGATTCATGCTGGGGATTGAACCCAGGGTCTCAAATATGCTAGGCAAACTACATTCAGCTACCACTGAGTTACATACACACCCTGCTAGATTTAATTCTTAAGTAGATGGAAGCCTATTTTAATAAATTRTTTTTCCCATTTTTGGATTTTTCTGTTTTGTGGCTTAGGTATGTGTAGTAAATTTTCTAATATGCTAGTCCAGGACAATAGATGCCATCCCTAGTTGTGAACAAAAAAGCTTATGTTTTTTCCTGTTATAAAATTATCAGTGCTTTCGCTGAGTTTGATTCTCAGCACCACATATAAATAAATAAATAAAGGTCTATCAACAACTAAAAAAAAATTATCAGTGCTTTCTAAAAAAAATTTTTTTCAAAGAATGTAGAATAAAAGGCAAATTTCAAATGCTTTTGGAAATTTTCATGCTTTTATTCTTATCCCTTATAATGATGTATCACTTATGTTCAATTTTGTGTGAAGTGTTTAGTTAAACCTTGTTGTGGTTTACCCCTTCCTAATATGGACTTTGGGTTCACGCTGAAATTCAAATATGAGGTCTGCTACTTTGTATTAAGTGTGACTTAGCAAGTTAATTTTCTGGGTTAATTTCAAGTGAAGAACTAGTATTAGTTATTATTAGCATGTTAGTTATTATTAGTATTATTAGTATAGTTAGGAACTAGTATTTGCTGCTGTTTGCTAGGTATTACATTGAGTTTGGGATATACGTTTAGCTATAGTTTTCTTAATTTTCAAAAACACCCACAAACATTTCTAGGTAGGTGTTAACATTTTCATAGAGGAGGCTCTGAGACGTTAAGTAACTTATTCAAGGTCATACAGTTCACTCAGATTTGTCTTGACTTCCCTCATATTTCTAACATATGAAATGCTGTTTCTACAGTAGAATAATAACAACTAGGAGTAATGTAATGTGATTTAGAGGGTTATTATGAAAATTCAATGAAAAAATGTATATAAGAAATCTATAGATTGCCTGTCTTCTAGTATATATAGTGTGAGTTTTCCTTCTCCCCTTTTAAAATTTGTCTGTCTGCTTGCCATATTTAATCTAGTAGGCTTCCTTAGGTTAGAGAGATCTAGACACATCTTTCCAGAGCTCTAGAAGATATGGCTGTTGGAAAGTTTGGGGTTCTCTGAGGAGCTTCACTCTGTTTCAGTTCTTGTCTTGATTTTCTCAAATTTAGTGACTGAAAACATGTATCATTATTTTAAAATGAATTCACAAATAGGCATTTTACAGTGAATGGGGAGGAGTAGATGGTTTGCTTGTGGCTTATTTATGATATGTATGTCATTTATGACATTGGCATTTGGTTTGTCAGAAGTGTTAGAATTTGGTCATTGGAAATTAGAAGTCTTATCGAGTATACCTATTTTTAACTTACCTGCATTTCTTTGTAAATGCATTTGTTTTTATGTCAATGTTTTCGAATTAACTACTACATAAAAACATTAATATAAAATAAATGCATTTACAAATAAAAACAAGTATTTTTTTTTAAAACAACTTAATTAACAAGTAAATTAATTGTAAAATGTTCTTTTTCCCTAAGAAATTTTTTTTTGTGCTTACTTTTGTCGGTTAGTAGGAAAATGTCACCCTTTGTCCATCCATCTGTTTTTATATAGTATCTTTGGAACAATGGTAAGCTGATGAGTCATCAAAGTTGGTACAAGATGGTTTTCTATTTTAAAGCTACTCATAGAAACAATGTACAGATCTGATTTTATGGTCATTTGTAATTCTTACCAGTCAAATTGGTACTCTTACTCCTGTGGTAGAAGTTATATAGTTTATATAGAAGTACTAYGTATGTAATATTTGTTTCTGAAAAAAAATTATAGGTTTTCAAGAATGCCTTTTTATTTTTGGTGTGTGTGCTGAGAACTGAAAAATTCTTTCTTTCTTTCTTCATTTTTCTTAATGTATTTATATAGGCTTGAAGAAAATTTGCCTGCAGGCTGTGGATTTTGCCATATACCATATGATGAACTGAATATGCCATTTCCAGCTCATCTCACATACTGCTATAGTTGCAGGAAACAAAAAGTTCCTGATGTTCTCTTTACAACTATAGACCTCCCAATAGATGCAATAGTTATTGGAAAAGGTTGTCTTATTCAAGCAAGGTGTGTTTGTAAATACAGTATTTGTGTTCCCTAAAAAAATTATCAGGCATGGAGTTATAAATATTTATTGTTTCCTACCTATTTGRTCCTGGATAGGCTGTGCAGTTCTACTGGAACCTTGTATTTTATTCCATGTACTTTAGGAGGAAAAATATCTCTGTATAAAACTCAAATAAGGGGCTGGGGATGTGGCTCAAGCGGTAGCGCGCTCGCCTGGCATGCGTGCGGCCCGGGTTCGATCCTCAGCACCACATACCAACAAAGATGTTGTGTCCGCCGAGAACTAAAAAATAAATAATAAAAATTCTCTCTCTCTCTCTCCTCTCTCACTCTCTCTTTAAAAAAAAAAAACTCAAATAAGTTTATGTGCAGAAAGAGTCTTAAAATATTTAAATGCTGTACAAATGTTCATCATGGTTATTATTAACCTCTTTATAGGCTAGGGATATTACTAGCATAGATTGCTTAAATGACATTATATATATGATTTAGTTAGCTTTTTTGCCACAGTGACCAAAAGACCTGTCAAAAACAATTTTAGAGGAGGAAAAGTGTATTTGGGGCTCATATTTTCAGAAATTTTAGTTCATAGAAGGCTGACTTTACTACTCTGGAACCAAGATGAAGTTGGACATCCTGGTAGAAGTACATGAAGGAGAAAAACAACTCAGAACATGCAACCAGGAAGCATGGAGAACTGGGACAAAATATAAACCCAAAGACAGGGACTGGGGATATGGCTCAGTTGGTAGAGAGCTTTCCTTGCATGCACAAGGTCCTGGCTTCAATCCCCAGCACCACAAAACAAAACAAAACAAAACAAAAATCCAAAGACAGGCCCCCAGTGACCAATCTCCTCCAGCAAYACCCTACCTGCCTATAGCCACTGCCCCGTTAATCCAATCAGTGAATTAATTTCACTAATTAGGTTTAGCTCTCATGACTCACAAATAGAGCATAATTTTTCATGTCTCTGGTTGAACACAAAGTAGAGTCACACCATTCGTGTGTTTTCATACATGTACTTGGGGTAATGATATCAGTCTCATTCCACCGTCTTTCCTACCCCCATGCCCTGCCTTCCCCTCTGCCCTAGCTAAAGGTCTTCTATTCTTCCCATGCTCCCCGCTCTCCATCCCCATTATGAATCAGCATCCTTATATCARAGAAGACATTCGGCATTTGTTTTTTTGCGATTGGCTTACTTTATTTAGCATTATATTCTCCAACTCCATCGATTTACCTGAAGTTGCCATGATTTTATTTATTTTTAATGCTGAGTAACATTCCATTGTGTATATATCTACCACATTTTCTTTATCTACTTTTGTGTTCTTTTAATGAGTAAAATAATTTTTTTCCCTTTGCTAGTCATCTGTCGTATGATCATTGGCAGTTTGGAATGTTAGATTTTAAATTATATTGTCTAGTGATTTGATCAATATTATTTCATTGAAACATTTTGAAATTTTTTATTTCTTTTTTTTTCTTGGTGATGCTGGGGATTGAACCCAAGACCTGTGCATGTGAGGCAAGCACTCTACCAACTGAGCTATGTCCTCAGACTGAATTTTTTTATTTCTGTTTATTGAAATAAGACTTAAAATAAATTTTACAGTTGTAGATGGACAAAATGCCTTTATTTTGTTTGTTTATTTTTATGTGTGCTGAGGAGCGAACCCACTGCTTCACGAATGCTAGGCAGGTGCTCTACCACTGAGCTAAAACCCATCCCGAAATAAGACTTACAGTGAGTTTACATAGTAATAAAAATAGCAGAAAATATTATTGATGTAACTTAATAAGCCGATTTGGAACAAATAAATGTTTTATTAAGCACACTTTTAGAAAGTTTTTCAACTTTTTGACATTTCTTAAGATAATATCAAGAGTACTGTCCACTGACTGAATTATTCTTCTTTACAGGTTATGTCGCTTAAAAAAGAAAGCACAGGCAGAAGCAAATGCTACAGCTATCAGTAATCTCTTGCCATTTATGGAATATGAAGTACATACTCAGCTAATGAATAAACTAAAACTCAAAGGAATGAACGCTTTGTTTGGACTAAGAATCCAGATCACAGTGGGTGAAAATATGTTGATGGGCTTAGCAGTAAGTTTAGAAACTTTTGGTTTTATGATTTCTGTTGTTGTAGTAGATTCTGTTTTATGGGAGTCAGTCTTTTAAAAAGACTTAGTTGAAGAAACTCATCAAGACCTGCAATGGTTGGGGCGTTTTTAGGTAGGGAAGACTCTGGTGTAGGTTTTCACATATTTTAAAGGGACTGTAACCATAACCATTATAGTTAAATATCGAAAAATTATCATTTTTAACTTATTAGTAAGTTGACCACTATGGATCCAGGTTTTATTATTGTTTACAAATTACTGAAACAGGGTTTTTACCTCTTGGCACTGTTGGCATTTGTGCAGGGTGACTCCTTGTTTCTGGGTGCTGTCTTCTTCATTGTAGATGTTAAGCACCATACCCACTGTATGCTAATGCACCCTTCTAGTTCTGATAACCAAACATGTTTGCAGACATTGCTAAATGTTTTCCTGCCTATTGTTAGAGAAGTAAGCTTTATCATAAACTTGTACCWATGGCTAACAGTGGAATGTGTAATAAAATATTTGTATGTATATCTTTTTTTTCCCCATGCAGGGGACTGAACTCAGGGCCTTGCATATTCTAGGCAAACTCTGTACCACTGAACTATGCTCCAGCCTTTTAACTTTTTATTTTGAGATAGAGTTTTGATAATTTGCCCAGGCTGGTCTCAAACTTGTGATCTTCGTGCCTCACTTTCCAAGTAGCTAAGACTATAGGCGTGCACCATCATGCCTGGCAAAATGTGTGTTCTTAAGTGCCAGTAAAATGTGAGACTGGTTAAAACTCTGTTTCCATTTCATGTTCCCCTTGTTTTGTGAGAAAATGAGTTCTGTCTGGAAAGATGTCAATGGAGAAAGTTAGTGCTACTTTCGTAAACAGCAAAGGACCCAGAGAAGTAGGTGTTTGCAAACCATAATGATTATAGGAGTCTAATCAGTATTTTTGGAAATTCTTTTGTTTTCTAGATACTTTGCTAGCCAGGATTTTTGTCTGTGTCACTGGCAATTTTCAAATTTGAATTCTCTTGGCATCTTTATAAGACATGCGTAGATGTTTAATTTTAAGAAATTTATGGAACTTGGAATTTTTTTTAGTATATCTTTTTTTATTTTGTAGATAAAATGCCAAATTGCTTACTATTTCATGTGTCTTTTCTATAAGAGCAAATATATAAATTTTTGTATGTAGGGGAGAATTGTTTTATAATATATAATTGTTTTATAATAAATGTACTTATTAGGTATCATAATTTTTTTAGCAATAGAAATTTGTAATAATGAAGTTAATCTGGTTTACATTAAGATACTTGATGTTTAGAGTAACTAGAGAAAAATGTTTAATTCAGAGGTCTAAAAATTTGCATGCTTGGCAAGACTGTAACATAAAGAAGTAATTTGGGCTGAATACAAGACTAGCAATTGATGAATACCTATGGGAACTAAGAACTGGATTCAAATATAAAGGTTTAAAGACTAATTTACTAACTAAACCAAACATTTCTGATGGTCGAGTCCTACGGAACCAGTTTATGTGCCTGGTAGAATTTTAAGTTTGACTCAAATACTGATTTTCTGGTTCATACTCACGTTTTCCTTCTTGATCACTAAGTGACATTACAGCTATTTGATATTTTGTTCTTTGTGCTGTTTTATATTTTCTCTACTTAAATCTCAAGATCTCAAGAGTAGCTTCTATAATAGCTAGTACTCTCATGAGTGTCTGCTAGGTGTCTGGTCCTGCCTGTGCTAGACTAGAAGGAATGTAATACTGTCTTCACTTCATAAGAGAAAAGTACAAATATAGGTTGAGACTACAAAGTGTTATGGTTATGTGTGCTGGAACTGGACTGCAAACAGCCCAGTACTCAACCATTCAAGGCCATTGCCTCATTAATGAATAGAGCTAAGAAAGTTGCTGTGCTACAGCTTCATGTAGCATAGTAGAAGTTCTGCAGTTGAGCATCAGACACTGGGTTATGGGTGTGGTGATGGATGCCAGTGAACAAATCAATAAAGAGCACTCCTGAGATCAGTTTGGTCTGCTCAGACTTCATTGTAGGCTGCCATGCCCCTTTTAGGGTGGATTTTGACAGAATTGTCAATTGATTAGTTAAAGATTAATTAAAAATTCAAAATACATAAATATTCAAAGTCAAAAGAATTATCTTCTCTTTCCCATTCTGCCTCTTCGATTTTAACAATTTGCTGTTTATACTTCTTATTTTGTTGCTCTGTGTATAGTAGCATAAACATAAACATAAACACATATGTAAATTTCATCTTGTTATTATTTTCCATAATAGTTTTCCAGTACTGATAGTTTGTGGTAACTATTTTAAGAGTCTGAAATTAATAGTTATTTAATTAAATATTTTAAATAAATCTACATTAAATAAAAAAAATTGTGGCAATTATGGTTATATAGTGAAATTTTCTTGAGTTTCTCAGTGAGAAATACTTGGATTAAATTTCTTCACATTTAATGAATGTGATCTTGACTAAGTGCAATGTCCTGGACTTCAGGGTTTTTTAAAATTTCTTAACTTGCAAAACTTTCCCTTTTACTTTGCTACTGTTAAAAGTTGATTGTCAGGTCTGGGATTGTGGCTCAGAGGTAAAGCACTTGTCTAGCATGTGTGAGGCACTGGGTTCCATTCTCAGTACTGCATATAAATAAATAAATAAGATAAAGGTCTGTCAATAACTTAAAAAAAAAAGTTAATTGTCTGGCTTGGGGCTGTAGCACAGAGGCAGTGTGCTTGCCTAGCATGTGTGAGGCACTGGGTTTACTCCTCAGCAATGCATAAAAATAAATAAAATAAAGGCATCTGTCCATCTGCAACTACAAATTTTTTTTTTTAAAGTTGTTATTATACTCATTCATCAAAAAAAATTGTAGCAACTTTTTAGTTATTTATTACTATTGTCCTTTCTTTATGCAGCTTATTTTTTTATACTTACAAAGTAAAAACTTAAAAAATACTGTGGTGTATGCACTGAAAAGTAAATTTCCTCTTTCACACTGTATGTGTCTCATCTACCCAGGATCCTTCTTAGAGGAAAGCACCTCCTGTTACGAGTTAGGTTTAGCATCCCCTTCTAGAGATGGCCTGTGTGTATACTGATGCTTTATTGTGTTTTCTTACAGAACACAGATCACATTCCTAAATATGAAACCTTTTTTTAATATATACATATTTTAGTGGTAGATGGACACAATATCTTTATTTTATTTTTTTATGTGGTGCCGAGGATTGAACCCAGTGCCTCACTCGTGCTAGGCTGTACCATTGAGCCACAACCCCAGCCCTAAATATGAAAACTTAAAGACCATAATTCTTTACATATTTTATCTGATTATTTCTCTATTTTGCAAGTCTGCCACAGGTGTATATTTAGCGGCTTTACCAATGCCTGGTGGTATTCAGATTGCTGGGAAGACTCCTAATGATGGTTCATATGAACAGCATATCTCTCATATGCAAAAGAAGATAAATGATACAATTGCTAAGAACAAGGAATTATATGAAATCAATCCTCCAGTAAGTAAAACAATTCTACATTGTAAATACACTGTTTATGAGTAGGTCATCTTATTTTGGATTTTTTTTTTTTTTTTTTTTTTTGGTGGAGGGGAGTTTGAGGTCTCACTACATTGCCCAGGCTGGTGTTCAACTCCTGAGCTCAAGTGATCCTCCTACCTCAAATTCCTGCGCAGCTGGGACTATAGGTGTGTGCTACTGTGCTTGATTTAGATTCGCTCTCTTTTTTACTTGTTCTTTCACTTCCCTTAACATCTTTACACAAATGTTTCCTTTTTGAGAAGTCCTACACTGACCACTGTATTTAAATTGCAATTCTGCAAACCATTTTTGGTGCTTCCTCTCATCCTTCTATGTTTTGTTGTTTTCTGTAACTCTTTTCTGTGTGTGTATGTGACTTTTTGACACACACTCAACATGCAGGCAAGTTTTTAATTTTGTCTGTTGCTTGTGAAAACCAGTGGAATGAAGCTCCACCAGGGCTGTATTTCTGATACTTAGAAAAGTTCCTTGTAGTAGCTTCTTAATAAATATATTTTTTTTGCTTAAGATTATAAATGGTCTTTATTTTAATAAAAAGAAAGTGTTTACGGTAAAAGTGGAAAAGGAGATATTTCATTACAGCTGCTGTTTTACAATTTGTTGTCAGTCATTTCCATAGTCAGTTTTCTTGCTAAGTTTGCGGTAGGTATCACAGTGCTTCCTCCTCTACAGATGCCTTTTCATTAGTGTGAATTGAAAGAAAGATGTTTTGGAGTTAGAATGCAACTGTTTTATGAGTCTCTGATATGAAATACTTCCACAAAGGGAATATTTTGGATAGAAAAATGGACCACATATTTTTTGCAGTCTTCTACAATAGTACATCTGAATTCTAACTTCAGACAGATAGCTTTTGTCAGATTAGCAAAATTGTGAAGTTGAGAGGAATTCTAAGGCTAATGCCTAGAGCTGTGCTGCTCAGTGTGGTAGCCACTGGGGCACTTGTTGTGTGATGAGTCTGACTGAGATCTGTTCCAAGCGTAGAGTACACACTGAATTTTGTAGACTTAATTTAAATATGAATGTAAAATATCTCATGAATATTTTTGTATTGATTACATGTTGAAAATTTAATATTTTGGATATATCAAATTAAAATCTTTTATTAAATTGATTTCATCTTTTTTTATTATAATCACAATAAAGGAGTGCATTACATTCATAATTTTTTTGCATTACAATTCTTAATACATCTTTATACCACAATTTATCAAATCCCTGTTTGTATATAAGGTATGTTGACACCAAATTCACATCTTCGTACATTAATTTTGTATAATGATGACCAACTCCTTCCACTATCCTTGCTATTCCCATTCTTCCTCCCTTTCCTTCCCACCTCTATTCCCTATCTAGAGGTAATTTTCCACCCATACTCTCCCTCCCTACCCCACTTTGAGTCACCACCCTTATATCAGAGAAGATATTCAGCATTTGTTTTTTTGGGGGGATTGGCTGACTTCACTTAGCATAATCTTCTCTAATGCCATCCATTTCTCTGCAAATGCCATGATCTTATTATTTTTTAGTGCTGAGTAATGTTCCATTGTATATAAATGCCACATTTTTTTATCCATTCATTCACTGAAGGACATCTAGTTTGGCTTCACAGTTTAGCTATTGTGAATTATACTGCTATAAACATTTATGTGGCAGTGTCCTTGTAGTATGCTATTTTTAGGTTCTTTGAGTATAGTCCTATAAGAGGAATAGCTGGGTCAAATGGTGGTTCCATTCCCAGCTTTCCGAGGAATCTCCAGACTGCTTTCCATATTGGCTGCACTAATTTGCAGTCCCACCAGCAGTGTATGAATGTATCTTTTTCCCCACATCTTCGACAACACTTGTTATTATATGTCTTCATAATGGCTGCCATTCTTACTGGGGTGAGATGGTATCTTAGAGTAGTTTTGATTTGCATTTCTCTGATTGTTAGAGATGATGAGCATTTTTTCCATATGTTTGAGAAGTGTCTGTTCAGGTCTTTGGCCCATTTATTGATTGGATTATTTGTGTTATTTTGGTTCTTGTTGAGCTCTTTATATACCCTAGAGATTAGAGCTCTATCTGATGTGTGAGGGGTAAAAATTGTTCCCTTTATTGTGTGACTTGCTTTATATTTGTGTTGGGCAACACCGACTTAGAGCTTCTCTAAGTTGAATCAAAATGTTGATGTGTTAATATACTAATACTTGAAAAATAATCTTTGTAAAAACTCTCATACTCCTATATATATATATATATATATATAAATGCCAGACATATATACATATATATATTAGTTTTCACACATATATATTTTAGTTTTCAATGGACCTTTCTTTTTTATTTATTTATATGTGGTGCTGAGAATTGAATCCAGTGCCTCACACATTGCCAGAAAAGCACTCTCTCCCACTGAGCTACCACTCTACCCAGACTCCTCTTACTCCCTCATAATGAATGATTGTTAGCTATACATTTTTCTTTTTTAATAGTATTTTGATATTTGAACATCTGTTTGTAGTGTTTATGCCAGTTGGGGAGAAAGCCTTGTAAGTTAAATCTTAGAGCCCCATTTGTTTTGTGTTTATTAGTTCTAATAAGTTGAATTCTTTTACTAAACAGTGCTTATCATTTTTTTAAATCCATTCTGACCTGCCACAAAAGAGTAACTCTTCCTCCATTGTGTTCCTGTTATACTGTAATGTCTGCTAGTAAATTGTCTATTACATGTTATTGTCTATCTTCTTTTAATATAATATAGTCAGCCTTCTATATCCATGGTTCAAACATCTGTGGAATCAGCCAACCATGAATTAAAAATATTTGAAAAAAAAATTATAGCTGTACTGAAAATATATATCTTTTATCTTCTTCTTATTCCCTAAACAACACAATATAACAATTATTTGCATATCGTTTACATTATATTAGTTATTATAAATAATTTAGAAATAATTTAAAGTATATGGAAGGTACTGGGGTTGTTGCTCAGAGATAGAGCATCTGCCTACCATGCACAAGGCCCTGGGTTCGATCACCAGTGCTGCAAAGGAGAGACAGAGAGAGAGAGAGAGAGAGAGAGAGAGAGAAAGAGAGAAAGAGGGAGAATGTGAATGAATGAACACAGAAGGATATTGTAGGTTATATGTAAATACTGTGCCATTTTATATAGGGGCTTGAACATCCACAGATTTTAATTAATCTTTGAGGAGTCCTAGAACCAACTCCCTAAAGATACTGAGGATGACAATATAAGCTCCTTGAAGACAGAGATGTAATTAATTGAGTGTGAATTAAGTTACTTTATTCAGTAAGTACTTATTAAATTGTTATTACATGTCACACAGCTTATATTTTGAGAAGGGAGTGAGTCTATCACAATTAAAAAAATCAGCATATATGGATTTTGTGTATTGAGGATGACTATATTTGCWTAAAAGTGTTCATCAATTTATGAATCTGCTAATATGTCCTTATTTCAGATACTAATTCCATTATAATCCTTTAGAGTAACATCTCAGTTGTTTGACAAATTTGATAAACAAAATTAGTTACCAGGYCACCGTAAACATTATAGTTTTGTCTTTTTGTGTATGACAGTCAGTATATGCCCATCCTGAAAATATGGATCAGTGTGCCCCTTTTTAGGATGATTACCCCAGATGTGATGATCATTTGATTTTTTTTCCTTAATACCCTGAAAAATGTTTCTAATGTTGAGATGTAGTACCACTTAATCAAACTTTAAGATAAGGTATTAGAATAAGATACAAACTTTTAGAATACTAGTATTAGTGATCAAACCTCAATATGAATCTTAAATAYATTAAGTACTAGACAGTTATATTTATTAGATTAATGATGTAGTGATCAGAGGTATAATTCTCAACTACTATGAAATCATAAAAAGAAATGTATCTAGTGAGAAGAACATTGCACTAAGAAAAAAAAGAAAAAAACAGGGTCTTTACCTAGTCTTCAGACAGGCAAGTATCTTTACCCTGAATTGCAGTGATTTCTTTTATTGTGTGTGGTTCTGGGGATTGAACTTAGGGGTACTCTACCTCTAAGCAGTACCTCCAGCCTTTTTACTTTTTATTTCTAGACAGGGCTTCACTAAATTGCCAGGGCATATGCCACCAGGTATGGCTCTTTCTCATTTTGTGGCCATTATATTKCGCATCTTATCAAATTTATATAGGACAGGTTAATTTGAAATGCAAATAAAATAAATGGATGTGAAAGTACTCCATAGATTATTATGTTATGGAACTGCAGTAGTCATCTTTTGTTTAAGATGTGTACTAGAAATGAACATTTAAAATTCTATTTTTGAAAAACTTTTACTTATAATTTCCTTGATTTTGTAAGATAGCTCTGKTATACCAATGATAGGCCTGTGCTCACATGTCCTCATTTTTCTGTTAATTCTTTGTAGCCAATAGTGATTTAGAATCTTTTGTAAGATCAATGACTGAGTAATAGGGAAATTCTTACTAATCCATGTGAGATTTCACTATATACTGATTTATTATCATTATTATAGCTATTAGAGCTTATTTAGCTTAATAAGTTGCACAGCAAATGTATGCATAAGTACATGTGTATATATGTATCTGTTCACATATTCATGTTTCTGATACTTAACACCTTTGAAAATTACCTCTGGGTAAAAAAGGATATAAAAGGTGAGTAACTATTTTGGGAAATATTTCTTTGAATATTTATGGATAATTAAGACTTTAAAATGCTAAGTAGAAAATGCACATAGTCAGGAGTGATGGATTTCTGAGTTTATTTTAAAGTCCTCTCTGTCAGTTTTGCTTGTCTCTGTGACAGTTATATATTTCTAGGTTGGTTCATCAATAAGGCTGTAATTATGGATAAAAAGAAATAACTATATCCTCTATAAATAGCTAAGAAGGGTATACTTAAATATAGAGTTAATTAAATATATTTAGCAGATTTTTTTTCTCTGCTGGAAGTTGTGTATTAGTATGAAAGTTTAAAATCAGACTGAAAAATATAGCCTCATGTGATACAAAGCAATTATATTTCCTTTAGGAGATATCTGAAGAGATTATAGGATCACCCATCCCAGAACCTAGACAACGCTCAAGACTTTTAAGATCTCAGTCAGAAAGTTCTGATGAAGTTATGGAATTRGATCTTTCACATGGGAAAAAAGATGCTTTTGTTTTGGAGGTAATATGCTTCTAGCTTAATTCTTAAAGCTTTCAGAGATTGTACACTTTACAATTAGATACTAAATTGATGTGATATTTTTGTGTTATTACAACTGATAAATAACAGTAAAGTTTTATTATAGAAATTGGACAAACCTGAAAATAACAGAATTTAATGACTGATGGAATAATGCATTTACTCCTGAAACAATTAGTGTATGGGTTGAAATAATATGAAAATATAGATTGAATGTTTCTAATCCAAAAATCTGAAGTGCCCTGAAATCCAAAGGAAAGGAAACTAAATGAGGGTGCAAGTTGAGAGAGAAAACGTCAGATATTTTGATCTCAGTGAAGCTGGAAGCTGGTGGTAGAATTATGTTGGGGTGGAAATGGAGATTGAGGGTCTGTGTTGGGAGTAGTGCTTCAGATGTGGGCAGAGGACTGAAAGAAAAGGGGAGGATTCAGTAAGAGACTGAAGTACAAAGAGATTATGGTTGGAGAAAGTGTGAGATCTTGCAAATGGAGCATTTAGGGAACAGTGGGTTGAGGTATGGCAGTGGGTATCTAAGCTGTAGTGGGACTGAAAGTGAGTGCATTCCAAGGTTGATGTGAGGGGAAGGTCTTTGGGACAGGATTATATGGGTTAATGTCAATATGTGTCCAGGTAGTTATTTTCACTATTATTCACAATGCAAAGGTTGTGAAAAAAGAACACTATGATTTAATTTAGATATACTTATTTTAGATATGYATTGAAATTTTATCCCTATTTAATTCTATTAAAAAGCAATTCTATATTTGATGAAAATATTCTTCTTAATTATAGAGAGATAATGATTGCTTACTTTTTTTTGAAAGTCTTTTGAAACATATTCTTATAGAAGCTTGAGAAAAGTATGAGTTAAAAAAACTTATTTTAATTAGGATCCCATTCTTGTGCTTGTACATGGTGTTTCACTGGTGGTATATTCATATATGAACATAGGAAAGTTATGTCAGATTCATTCTACTGTCTTTCCTTTTCCCACTCCCTTCCCTTCCCTTTATTTCCCTTTGTCACTCCACTGAACATCTTCTATTCTTCCCCTCCCCAACTTGCATTCTAAAGAACAAATAAATAAAAGAAAAAGAAAACATTAATTAAAAAATTTTGGAATAATTATGCATTCACTGCTAATATGCCAACAGTTTTAATCTTTCTGTTTTCAGATTGATGACACTGATGCAATGGAAGATGTGCATTCTCTCCTTACTGATGTTCCTCCTCCTTCAGGTGAACAGAAGAAATTGACTTTGAGATAAAACTAATTTTATGTATCAGAGTTTTAGTTCATGATTGTTAAGAGTATTAACTTTACTGTAAAGGCATTATCATAGTGTGACATTCTGTCATATACTTTGCTTCTTCATAAAACACATAACTTAAAAATACTTGTGTTAGAACTTAGGTACAACTGATTTTAAATACTTTTATGTTTATATATGAAAAAATTCCTGTAATTATTAGGATGGTTTAAAGGTTTTTTGCAGGTAGAGAGTTTAGAAAAAAAGGTTTTACAGTTAGAATTTCATATAATTAAAAAAATGCTATTCTTTAACATAAAATCAGTAATATTATCATGTTTTAATTATAATTTATTTTGGCAGGCTTTTATAGTTGCAATACAGAAATTATGCCTGGTATAAATAATTGGACATCAGAAATACAGGTAAACCTTTTATTAATTTTAAGCCAGATAGCACATAAGTTATTTAATAAGTTTATCTAAATATCTATTTTGTTTTTGACATTGCTTTTGACCTTCTTTGCCATTAAAAGGACTATTCTTTTTCATAGCATATTAATTATTATTGTTTGCTATTTGGCACTTTTATCAATTGTTATAGTATGTAGTTAAAAATCATTAAATGACATGCTGTTCTGTCTTTCCACATTTAGATGTTCACATCAGTAAGAGTAATCAGATTAAGCAGTCTTAACCTGACTAATCAAGCTCTCAATAAGAACTTTAATGATCTCTGTGAAAATTTACTCAAGGTAGGAACCTTCTGACTAAATTTTATTTAAAGGCCTTCAGAATCTTGACATTACACAGTTGTAGGCTGCATTGTTTTTATGTACCTAAAGATCATATTTCTGTCACCAGGTGAGATGCTAAAGTTGTCCTCTTTTTCTTAAAAGCAGTTTAAATTAGTTAATGGTTTAAATCTCATAAAAAAATCTGGTATATGTTTGTAAATTTTGAAAAGCACATTATTTTTTATTATTAAATCTTATTGTTTATTTAAACATTAAAAATTTATTCTTGCTCAGCACAGTAGCACATGCCTATAATCCCAGCTACTCTAGAGGCTGTGWCAGGAGGGTTACAAGTTTGAGGCCAGCCTACACAACTTAGTAAGACTCTTAGCAATTTAGTGAGAACCTGTCTCAAAATACAATGTAAGAAGGCCTTGGAATGTGGCCAGCTTAAAGCACCCCTGGGTTCAAGTTCCAGTATTAAAAAAAAAAAAAAAAA